TGGAGATCATCCCAGCGCCTGGTGATGGTTGCCGTCCTGTCCGCGCTGTTCTCGTTGATCGGGGGGGGCAGAGGGGCGGGATCAGCTCTGAACGCGGACGGAGGGAGGGCGAAGGAACATAGGTTGGCAGGGGAGGGAAGGAGGGCGGACGGAAGGAGGGTGGAGGGGAGGCTTAAATGGGAAGGGGGAAAGGGGAAGGAGGAAAGGAAAGGAGGGAATCCGGGAAGGGAAGGAGCCTGGCAGAGGGGGAGTTACACATTTGAGGTCTCGCAAAGGGACGGAGAAAGGAGGGATGGAGAGGGAGTTGTTCCAAGCAAGCAGCACCTCGCCGCCCAGGGCTACTGCTAGCCTCCCACTAGCTCTGGTGTGACGCGTGCATTGCGTGAGTCAGTGGGCTTCCGAATTCGTGCGTTTTCGGGTCAGCTTGCGCAGAACAGGCGATGTGCGGGACGAGGAATTGACCCTAAGGGAGGGGGGGAACGGACTGGGGTTATACGACACGTATCATGTGAATACATGCATACCTACACACAACATTCAAGAGGATCACGCCTCTTCGCCGACCCCCAGAAGAGGCGGGGAGTCTACGATTGAGGCGTCGTGGGCTTCTTTGGCACTATCTGGGGATTCGTGCGGGCGTCTTGGGAGTTGATTGGAGCGCCTTGGAGGCAGTTCTGAAGCGTATTGAGGGCCGCTTTGGGGCTTCTGTATCTTTGACCGTCCTGGGCCCCACTTTGGGCCGTTTTTGAATTCCCTTGGGCCGTTCTGGGGCCCTCGTAGGGGCCTCTTGGGTAGTTTTGGGGCGGTGTACGGGGCCTCTTGGGCCGTCTTGGAGCATCGGAAGTTCGAGAGGACGATATCTCCAGAAACAAATGAAACCCAAAGGAAAACCGTTGATATTTGCATCTTGTGGCCCTCTTGGGAAGGCTTTTGGGCTGTTTCTCGGGGCGTCTTGGAGCCATGGTGGGCGTCTTGGAGCCATGGTGGGCGTCTTGGGCTAATAGTTCGGCAATTCGGAAATGTCTTGGAACGTCTTTTGAGCCAACGGGAGGCAGATTTGGCAGCTCTGGAGTCTCCAGGGGGTGCGCCAGGGAGCCCGGATACCCCCCTTTAAAACGAGATTTGGGACCCTGGTAGGTGAAGGGGAAGGGGGAGGGGGACAGAGAGCCAATCATCTCACACGCAAGCTCACTCTTGGCAAGCGGGGGTCGGTGGATATTTGCTTGTGCACGAACAGGTGTGTGTGTGTGTGTGTGTGCATATCTTGTTCGATTCAGCTATGTGCAGGTGTCTCACCGAAGGATGCTTGCATCATCGCTTGTCTTATACTGGAGGATCTTCATGGGTCGGCCGAGGTTTCGCCTGGTGCCCGCCCGTGGGCGCCTCGCGCGCTGGGTGCTTCCGCCGAGCTTTCGCCCAGGGCCTGCCCCGTGGGCGCCCCGGGGGCGCCTCGTGCGCTGAGGGGGCCCCGCCGAGGTCTCACCGCCCGGTGCCTGCCCGTGGGCGCCCTCGTGGGTGTCTCGTGCGCCGGGGGGGCCCCCTCCTCCTCCTCCTCCTCCTCCTCCTCCTCCGTTCCTCCTCCTCCTCCTCCTCCTCCTCCATTCCTTTTCCTCCTCCTCCTCCTCCTCCATTCCTCCTCCTCCTCCTCCTCCTCCTTCATTCCGGGGAGGCCCCCTCCTCCTCCTCCTCCATTCCTTTTCCTTGTAAACAGCTTCTCCCTGTCGCACCCCGATGCCAGCTTTTAGGGCGGGCCGGGCGTTTCGCTCGAGGTTCCTCATTCATTCTGGGGGCGGAGGCGCGCCGGCGGGGAGGTTGAGCATGATCAGCCTGACGGCCGCGAAGCACGCGGGCGTCGAGCAGGCAGCGTGCCGCACTCCTTGCCGCCTTCGGCGGGCTGGGCTCCTCCTCCGCCAGGCGGAGTTGGAGCCGGGAGGAGCGAAGGAAGAGGGGGGAAGAGGGGGAGCGAGCAAGGGAGGAGGAGAACAGGGGGCAGCAAACAGGGGGGGTGATGATTAGGGGGGGAGTGAAGGAGGAGGGAGGAGAGGATGGGGAGCAAGGAGAGGAGGAGAATCGGGGGCGGCAAAATGGTTGGGGTGATGACCATGGGGGGGCATCTCATGGCGGGTGCCCTGAGATTTCTCCCTAGAATTCATGATGGCGCCTCTTCGTACTGCAATATGTCCCCGCCCCCCCCCCCCCCCTGGGCCGCGCACGCGCCGCCGGCCATGATTTGCGCCCCCCCTCTTGGACGCCCCCCTCGTTGTACGCCCCCGAGAGAAGGGAGGGGTGGAGGTGTGTGTGTGTGTGAACAAATATATATATATATATATATATACAGAGAGAGAGAGAGAGAACTCGCCAACATTGCCCATTCATGCATGCTTCAAACCACCGTGCTCATCCTACCGACCATGCGAGACGAGTGTGGCAGCAGAGCACGTGCGCATCATTCTGGCTCAAGGACGTGGCCAGAGCGGGGATGCAAGTCGCGGAGAGCCTGCGACACATTGGACTCTTCGTTGGCCCGAGTTGGCGAGTTAACCGAGTGCTCACGCCACTCTTTGTCGGGGATCTTCGGGTGCTTGCCTCTTCTGACTGAGAAGGCACCACGAGCAAGACACATGACCCACGGGCGCATGTCGCTCAGCATGGCGCCCGTGTCTTCTGGCACACCTCCGCCACTCCATCAGAAGCAGGAGCAGCTCCAGGTACATCCTCTTCCTGCGTAAGGGTGGCCGCGCCTGCGGCTGCACACACAACTGGAATAGCTGAGGCAGGGGTGGAATAAGCATCCAACGCGTAGCTCTCTGGAATACACCTGAAGTGGCGGGCCGATGTGGCCTGCTGCAGCTCGGAGTCTTTGCACTCAGCATTGTGCACCCCGCGGAATCACTTTGCTGTGCGGGCGAAAGGATGACACCTGTGGCAACGGTGTTGGCCCAAGCGGGCGCGACACATTAAATCATGAGAGGGGGGGAGAGAGAGAGAGAGAGGCGTTGGGTTGGCTCGGTTTTGGGTGTCCACGCCTGCACCATCCACGCACAGACCCCACCTTGTCTTTTAGCCTCGGCCATCTTGGCTTTGTGGTCCACGAGGACCTGGGTGACAGCGCGGGTACGGGTCCGAAGTTCGGCAAAACGGTCGGGTCTCGTTCCTCAGACATTTGTTTTTTTCGGATCATCAGCAAGGACCTGCTCGAGCTTACGATTTCCACTGATGCACTGAAACTTGGGACTGAGCTCATTAGAGTACGTGCTTCGCATCTGTCTCCAACGATGGGCTTGTCGGGCTCGGCCTGCTTCGCTGCCAGATGACCATCCTGGCCAGCACGAACCAAGGAAAGATGTTCAGAATCAATCTCGGCAGGGTGAGCAGCAATCTCGATGGCATTACATGCCGCAAGCTACTCTGCCGTGGTGATAGCTTATACCTCCCCTGGGAGCGGCCCGTGCAGGGCCCTTAGCACGTGGCATCACGATTCTTGCTCTACAGCAGCCCAGCCGCAACGGGTGTGGCTTGGCAAGAAGTTGGCCTGGCCTGGCCAGGTCCGTCCGTGTACACCCGCCGCACCCACGTGCCCCGCCAGTCCCCCTCGCCCCATGACGGGCAGCGAGTCCTCGACAGGTCCGGGAAAAGGCGGCAAGGGCGGCAGCTCATAACTAGACTAGCAGTCGTCCTCGCCGTGATCTGTCTGGTGGTGATCACACACGCTGGCGCGGATCTCCAAGACATCATCAGGCATCGAGTCTGTCGTGCCACACATGAACATATCGTTGCTGCCCGGCCGTTGTTGTACTTCTGTGCCGTCCTACTGCCTTGGCAGAAAACGGACAGGCAGCCCACAACATTCGCAAGGCTTCTCTCTGTTGGACAGCACTGGGTTCCCAAAGGCACGTCTCCCAAGGGTCTGTCCTTGACCGTTGGGAGAATCGGCCGCGATCCTCGCCGACTGCCCCCCCCCCCTAATGCTATGCTCCGTAAACTGCGCGAATGCTGTGTGCGAGCCTTGGTCAAGTCCACAGCCTGCCTTTCGTTGCTGACAATCATGGTTGGACTTGCCATATTCCATCCAGCCAATGCCAAGCAAGGGGGCCCAGCCAATGGGATGGGCACTCTAACCCCCTTCCAGGAGGCTCTCTGCTGGGTTTTTAGCCGGATGCTCTGCCAAGCCCTGAAAAGTGGATTCGGAACGACCTTACCTTCCCAAACGAAAGTAGCAAACGGAACCAGCAAAGGAACCGTGGCATCGAGGACAGGGTCGAGTTGTAGGCAACGGGGGAGAGGAGGAGGAGGAGGAGGAGGAGGAGCAGGAGGAGGACCAGTTTACACCTGAAACCCATCAACGATATTGCAATCAACCCTCCTCCAAGTTCCCTCTTCATGAGCCCCGTGGAAGGCTTCATTTCACTGAGGGAGGTGCCCCGTTGGAGTACAACCGTTTGAATATCCGGAACTGTGCCAGAACACCTTTCCTGGGATTTCAATTTCGCGAATCACCGTTATTGACGCCTCGGGACGATCCCGAATCGCGCCAGAGCCCAATTTCTGGCCCACGCATCAACGCGACTCTTGCGCCCTACCACTCCGACATCGTGCCAAAGCGCCGCATTTGGGATGTCAAACATGAGAACCCTTGAATCTTGAACCTGTTGTAAGCTCTTAAAACCTTTTCGGCAGTGCAAAGGCGAGCGTCACATGTTGAAAAAGATCCGCCCTCCATCCGTGAACCTATCGCAGTTTTTAAGACGACTGTGCGCGGCGCTGTGGTGAGATCAACTTTTTGAAAACGGCACGCCTTTCATCCGTGACGCTGCAACGTTTTAAAACGAAAGTGCGCGGCGCTCCGGCGAGAGCCACAGACCAGAACACCACCCGCCATCCGTGAAACTGTTGCAAGTTTCAAGCCTCAGGATCTTCAAGTGCGAGGAAGTCTCGGGCTCACGACTGTGCGCGGCGCTATGGCGAGAACAACTTTTTGAAAACGGCATGCCCTCCATCTG